TAGATGAAACTATCCTATTTCCTACTGATATTGAATATCGACCATGCGGAGGAGCCCAAAAAACGCGTAAAAAGTGGATGAAAATTCCACAAAAATAAACTTTCAAAAAAAATACACATGTAATCGTATTCATTATAGATTAGATTTTCGAATGGAAAAATGTTCCATCGAAAACTTCAAAGCGTTTTGAATAGGTTCATAGATACGCATTTTTACGCGTTTATTTTCGTTGAATTTTCCTCCAATTTTCACGCGTTTTCGCTCTTGTCCGCATGGTCGATATTCAATATCAGCAAGAAATAGGATAGTTTCACCTAATTTATTATTTCATTTATCATTTATTAAATTATAAATTATTTTCAAAATAATTTATAATTGCAATAAATTAATGTTTTTATAATTTATACTTAAAAATAAATATAGATTATCATAAGTTATTATTTATTTTAAATATAAACTATGATAAGCAATATTTATTTATAAATATAGCTTCTGAAAAAATTATTATATTTATTTTATATATAAATTATCAATCATTTATATTTATTTTAAAGTAAAAGGAAGATGAACCGACTAACTGCGATGCAGAGAAAAGAAACGAACGCTGATGTATAGTGCAGACTTGTAAACATTTTCTTGAACATTTGCGTTAGAGAACTTTTAATTATGCTATCTTAATCAGTTCCATTGACATATAGTACTTTCAATGAAGACTAATACTTAATTGTATCATATTATTATCGTGATGCTAGCCTTAAAAAATAGACAGGCCTTGGCAGGCCAGGCCAGGCAGGCCGAGGAAAATGACAGGCAGGCAGGCCAGGCCAAAAAATTAGATGGCAGGCACAGGCAGGCTGAAAAGGTTGTAGGCCTGTCACAGGCAGGCCAGGCCTGCAAAAAGTCGGCCTGGTTGGACCTCTGTTAAAGATCTATTTTTGTATCCAGTGTTATCAATTCTATATTTTGGATATATTCAAGTAAGAACGATTCATGTTTACTTTTTCAGATTTTTAAGAAGAATTTATTAAACTTTTCATGAAAACACATCATTGTTGAAATTGATCTTCAAATTCATTTGTCTTTTGACATTTTATTGATATCAATGAAAATTTATAACAATAATCTATATCATTCAAATTCTGTTTTTTGTCTATGAAGTAATCGATATCCTTTGAGTTGTTTACATAACCGAAAGTGTAAAGCAAAACAATTAAAGTAAACGATGCGTATATTTTATTAATGTTTTACCGATGAATAACCAACTTTACAACATAAATTCATGAACAAAAAACTAATCAGGGTGATTTGTCTACATCTGAATATACTATCATTTGATATTCGGTCTTTTTCTCTTTTACAACAACAAAAGTTAACACAATTATAACTGTTAACAATACTTGACTGAATTCGAAAAAGCCTAACATAACAATATATTTTGGATTAATGAAGCCAGATATGAATGAAGTAATCAATGATATAAATGATATAATGGACACTGGTAATATATCATTTAGTAAAATATACATGAGTGTAGTATTATAAAACGCCATTATATATCCAACACATATCAAACTTGTTAAATTCTCCGACAGTATATCGTATTTGGCGTTAATATATAAATCAAAATGTTTAAGCCATTTGTATTTAGAGGTGTAAGCCGATAGACTAATCGGCGGCGGCGCCAGTTTTTTAAAACTTTTTAAAAAAGCTCGGCGGCGCAGATTTGATATTCCAAGGTTGCACAGCGGCGGCGGCTCGAAAATTGTAAAATTTCGAATACCATCGGCGGCGCGGCGGCTGTAATTAAAGTGCCTCAGCGGCGGCGGCTTGAAGTTTAAAAAGTACTACATTATCATAAAGAAATTAGTCTATGACCTTGTCTACACGAGGAGGATAATGCAGTATTCAATTCGTATTAAATCAATTCGTGTCTACATTTGTCAGTTAATGCATCAATCAGAATCCTAGACTTTGAAATGAATCGTAGTGTTTGTTCACTTCAATCATAGAGGAATCGCTCATTGAAAACTGCGTCAGTCTCATTGGAAAATCCAATCAGACTTTGATTGTTGCATCAACTTGAATGCGGTTCTGAATAGTGCAATAAATTTAATGCACTTTTTAAAAGTGTTTTAAATGTTTATTAACTGTTTAACCAATCATGTCTCTTAATTTACCATCAAAATTTTTAGTGTAGACAAGGCCTATTTCAATATCTCGGCCTTTTTATCTTCAAACACATATGTGGAAAACCTTTAATTCACATCTAGACATAATAAAAAAAAAAGTCTAAAATTAAAAATAAATATAATTGCTAGGGTAAATAATAAATGAAAAATCACCACCACGATTGTTAATAAGTAAAGGCACTTAGCGTATTCAAGTTTGTTGTTTTTATTTTGTTTTTGTTAATCAAAATTTAAAATGCTCGTCTCTTCTTGTATTTATTAATATACCTAATATAAAGACATAAACAACTGAAATGATAACTTAGAATTTTCAACCAACACAGAATTAAGGGTTTGTTTACAATTTAGAACCCCAAGCACCTGACTGGTCAAGGAACCAGCACGAAAGTGAAGTTGAAGGCGAGGAAGATAATGAAGAAGAGATATATTGGGATTCTAAGATGTCAAAGTACCGAATTAAAGAAAATATTAATAAAACGTTTATTTATGCTAGTTGCCAACGGCGGCGGCGGCTCGAAAATTTTAAAATTTTGAATACCATCGGCGGCGCGGCGGCTGCAATTAAAGTGTCTCAGCGGCGGCGGCTTAAAAATTTCTAAAATTTCTACTGTCACGGCGGCGGCGGCTTAAACTTTTTCGAGTCTGTCGGCGGCGACGGCGGCTCAGCCGCATGGCTTACACCTCTATTTGTATTTCTTCATCATTTCAAAACCACACATATTTTGCTGTATTGCTTGCGTAAATGAGTTGGATTCATCAATCATTTGATATATTGAATTTTCATTTAATAGTTTGTTATCCTGAATAACACCATAGAAGTAGAATGACATTAAACCATCAAGAAAAAATACAATTGAAAACAGGATAAATGCAGTTAAAAAGCTGACATCACTGGGTGAATATAACCATTGTAAACATCGTTTGATTTTTGACATCCTATTGTTTTTTTATCTTTGATTTAACGTTATTGTATATATATAAAATAAAATGAATAGAAGAACACAATGTAATTGTTTCTGCTATAAAATATGGATTAATTTGGATGACCTATGGTGAACAATAGGCAATCTGAACTCTCTGTTCAATCAAAGAAAAGAAAAATGGGAAAACTTGGTATACTCAAAAAAAAAATGACTCATTTCTAAACAAAAAATCATTAAAGGTTTATTGTTCTATTAAATAACTTTCGGTAGAATAGATGTTGCTGCATATCAGTCAGAGATGAGCACAGGACAAGATTTTTCGCCCTGGCCTGTCCTGTCCTTTATTGGCCCCCATCCTGCCGCTCAGCAGGACAGGTCAAAATCTTTAGTATCGTCCTGTCCTGCAGGACAGGGCAGGACAGGATACAGGACGACCGCACCGTCCCATTCTGTGCTTATCTCTGTAGTACATTCATTTTGATGTTCTTTTAAACGTGTTGTTCCACTTTTAGAAGAATAAACAATTGTTTGATGACGTTTGAAGCAACTAACGTAACCCATAATCCGCTTATACTGACTATTTTCACTAATTTAGCAGGAAAACCAAAAGTATTCCACCAAGATAATGGTCACGCTGCTAGTGCTGGCTGATTTTTGATAATTGTATAGTTAGTTGGGTCTGTCCACAGAAGAACTTTTAGTTTTTCTGAATTGAAAGAATCTTCTTCATGAGAAAATATTTCAATAAAGTCCATGTATTCTTTTGTTGAGAAAGTACAAAACAAACTTTCAAAAAGAAGTAAAAATAAAGACGAGATGTCGATGTTATGATAAGAGAACGAAGAACAATAGATATACAGTGTTTACATTTGTTATGCATATTTTCTTTTTTCCTCCCGATTTGACCATCTTATCAACCAATTCGTAAATGATTGCACTTCTTCATTTAAAGAATAATGACATTTATCACTGATAGCGAATATCAACTGTTATTAACGATAATAAGTATCAGAAATCACTACAGGACAACATCTCCCATCCGGTCCTGTCCTGTCCTGTGTTAACTCCATCCTGCCGCTCACCAGGACAGGACAGAAATTTTAGTTTCATCCTGCCCTGGTCACCGCACGATGTAATTCTATCCTGCCACTCGACAGGACAGAACAAAAACTTTAGTGTCGTCCTGTCCTGCAGGACAGGATACAGGACGGCCGCACCGCCCCGTCGTGTGCTCATCTCTAATATCACTACAATGCAATGTAACACTTATTACTATGGCTTTTACTAGTAGAGTAATGAACCTATACTAGTTTTTCCGTTTGAAATACTACTGATAATAACTCTATCCATACATATTCGGTATTTTGTATTTACTGTTGTCTGAATAAACAATGAATCGAATAATCTTTTGTTTATTGGAGATTATTCAAACTAATCCATATTTTATAGTGGAAAATTTACATTGTGTTCGTCTATTCACTTTATATTTAAAGATATACAGTAAAGTTAAATCAGAGAGAAAAACAATATGTCGAAAATCAAACAATGTTTACAATGGTTATGTTCACCCAGTGATGTTAGCATTTTAACTGCATTTATCATGTTTATAGTAGGAGTGCTCGCTATCAGTTTTATGTCAGCCTATTTCCATGGTCTTGTTCAGGATAACAAATTATTAAATGAACATCCAATATATCAAATGATTAATGAATCCAACTTATTTATGCAAGCAATGCAGAAAAATATGTGTGGTTTTGAAATGATGAAGAAATGCAAATGGCTTAAACACTTTGATTTACATATTAATGCCAGTTGCAATATTGTCCCGAAAAATTTAAAATATTTGAGATATGATGGATATATAATGGCGTTTTATAACACTATTCTCATGCATTGTTTACTCAGTGGTGTTTTACCAGTATCCGTTATATCATGTGTTCCAATAACTACTTCACTCATGTCTGGCTTCATTAATCCAACATATATTATTTTATTAGGTTTTTTCGAATTCAGTCAAGCATTGTTAACAATTATAATGATGTTAACTTTTATTGTTATAAAAGACAAAAAGAATGAAACTACAATCATTGAAAACCGAAGTCCAAACAAACAATTATGATTTTTTTACATGTTGATTTATTGTTAACGTTTCTTTATTGATAGATGAAGCTTGAAATAAAATATGATTATTTTTCAGTTTAATTTTTAGTCTTTCTCTTTGAAGATGTTCACAAACTTTTGTATATAAATTAAATTAGGATTCCTTTGTAATCGTGCGAAAGAAGCATTTTTTTAATGCATATTTCATTTGTTAAATTACGATGAATTTTCACAAATCTATATAATGAATGTAGTGTTTGACATAGAAGACATCAGGTTCCGATAGATCCTGGATTTTGACAATGTAAAAGAGGATTTCATTCACAGGCAATAAATATATTTTATTGGCCTGATTTAAGCATATCATCGATTGATTGACAAAAGTTTCAAGAACTTAATACAAACCATGGGAAAAAAAATAATAAGAAAGCGATTAAAAGCACATTTTTTATTGATAAACCTCATTCTGAAGGTTCAAGAACAGGTTCAGGATGAGGATAAAGGTAAATATTGACAAAAGATCTGCACTCAAATTGACATCCAAATCCGCGTCTGCACATTCGCGACGAACTTCCTATGCAATGAAATGTCCTGTGGAGATCTGTTCTAGCGCCATTCATGCATTGCACATGATATATTTTTTTTAATAGATGACTTACTTTTAGAGAATTATAATGTACTAAGGAAAACATAATCTTTTAGAAAGAAAAACAACTGACATATAAATATAGTTCAACAATGAATCTAATAAAGATGACAAGATACAAGTTATACAAAGAGAGAAATATCGAACTATGTTTGCACAAGATTATTATTATCATCATATGATGTAATTCTCAATTTTAAGTCAATAGTAAATCATTTACTAATATTAGTGTCTGTACTATTAATCTACATGTTTGTGACCAATTAATCCATGGTAAAAGATTGATACAGATGCTGCAAAAAATAATAAATAATAAACGATATAAGTAATCAAATATTCAGTCAGTGTTCAATCAAACAAATTTTATCTGATAATTATAATAATCCAATCTATCAGAGTCATTAAACTAATTGTTAGTAGTACTAATTACATTATCAGTATCTTTATGTAAAAACAAAAATTTATCATCAATGTCAACATTTGTTATTTCTATAGACGAACTTCTTTTGAATATAAAATCTTTTTTTGAATGTCATCTTTCTATTCTTCCGCATTAGTTTTTCATACCTTAGTGAAACATCTTGTAAGCAAGATCTTGACCAAGATACAAGGTATAGAAAAGTGAGTAGATCTTGAAAATTTAGGTATAAGATAATCACATTATCTTGTACCAAGATCTGTAATCAGATCTTGGGTACATATGTACAAGATCTTAAGGACAGATGTATGAGATCTTGGATACAAATGTGTAAGATCCTAGGTACGAATCCATAAGATCTTGGAACCACACTAAGGTAAAACGTGTTGCATCTGTCGTGGTTTGCGACATAATGTATGACGCATTCTAAACGCGTGGTTCTAACCTATGATGAAGCACATTTTTTTATTTTTTTCTATAAAGATCATATAGAATATAATCTATGAGAGAATTCAAACAAAAAGAAAATATCACACATAGATAAGAATGTTATTAAATAGAAAATCTTAGATATTTTAATCGAATGAATAGAAAAAGATCGGAAAAATATTTTTATCATTAACTTTAAAACTTTATTTAGATGAAAATCCTTTAATTCACATATTCAAGAATCAAGTTTCATCACTCAAGATCAATTTTAATAATAAAAACAATTCGTGTCCAATGGTAGATATCTCTTCGGTGATATTTCAAAAAATTTTGACCATATATACTAATTTACGATGCTTAAAATACAATCCATCGTCACCTTTTGGTGACGCTTTATATTTATATCCGGCGAATGGAATTGCTATCTGTCCAACTTTATTAGAATTACATGTCAGTGTAACAGATATGAAACAATGTCTTCATATACTTGATGGACGTTTTGATCAACTTCGTATACTTTATGTTACTTTTGATAGTGTTTCGCCTGAGTTTTTCAACATTGAAGATAATGTAGGTTATTTTTATTAATATTTTGTTTGTTTAAATGAACTCATATTTGATTTCATTTTCAGCAAAAGCCACTACCAAACTTACGGATTTTTTCTTTGTGCTGCAATGATAAGATAAATGATTTTGATGAATCAATTGTGCCACTTCTACATCGAATGTTAAATATAGAAGAACTTCATTTAAATATTATAGTTAAATGTTATGAAAAATTTATTTCAGGTGATACATTGAAGAAAGATATTATTATTTATATGCCACGATTATATAAATTCACATGTAATATTTGCTGAATCATTGATCATCGTAATCAAACTAATTTTCCATTAAATGAACATTTTCAAAAAACATTTAAATATTTTTTTAATAATCAAATAATTACTTGTATTGATCATTTCCAAGAAAAAGGATATAGTCAATGTCATATTTATTCATATCCATATAAATTGAAAGTTTACAATAATATAACAAATAATTTTCCAGGTGGATTATTTACCTGTGTTACTCAAGTATCATTGTATGATGAACGTCCATTTGAGCATGATTTTTTTCTTCGAATTGCTCAATCATTCCCATTTATGAAAGAATTAACAATAAAGAATCAAAAAGCACAAAATAAGAAACAATTTATAAAATCAAACAGCGATGATCAAATATTGTCAATTATTGAATATCCCAATCTTACTCGACTTGATCTTACTAACACTCATGATGATTATATTGAACTATTTTTATTTGATAGGAAAATGTCTTTGCCAAATAATCTTCATCTTTGTGTCGATTATCAATCATTGGAAAGAGTGACATACTATTTTACAAGATATATAACACGAAATCACTGTGCAAAACTTGCTGGTGTATATTTTTATCCATTGAATCAAATCGATGAAAATATCAAAAACTATTTTCCTCATACATGTATAGGTCGTGCTGTTGATTTTGTATGATCTAAATAAAATCTATTTATATGGAATGAAATGATTGAAAGGGACAAAGGATAATGAATAAAGATAAGAATTTCAAAGAGAAATCAGTAGATCAATATGGCAATGATAAATATACGTGTTTCTTTTTTATTTATGCAAATTAATTAAAAAGTTTAAGAGTTTTTTAAGCAAGCTTAATGCTCCTGTATATTGATACCATTGCGAAGCATCTTTTTCCAAATCAATGTTGGACAAAAGTTGAAAATAGCCTTTTAAATGTTCTACAGTTTGCGGATCATCTTGAGCATGTTTTGCCATATTGTAAAACAGTTCAATTGCTGTTGTAAAGGACTGTGGTGTGTGTAAATTTTGATATATTGATGCCATTTCGAAACCGTGCTGCATATTCCCATAAAATAAATATGACCATCGTTCCGCTGATAAGCAAAAACCCTTAACAAATATATTTATGAAATATAACTGAACAAAAAAAAACAAAAATATATTTACCGTTGCTCATAGTCATTTTAATAATTCATGAATCATATTCACGACGAATACTTTCATAATTTTGAAATTCCGGTTTAAGTTTTATTGATGAAGAGCTGTCAGCTTGTTCTACCATCTAATATAAAAGAAAAACTTCTGATAGAACCATTTCTTTTTTTGTTATTGTTGTATATTTACTTGAAAACAACAAGGTGCAATAGAAAGTAAATGGACAATATCGTGAACACTTGAAAGAATGCCATATGGATCCTTTCTTTGTACTAGTTGTGCCATAGATTCGAAAAGATCTTCACCGGATGTTATTGGATGGCAGCATTTAAGAAACAATAAAATTGTTTTTAATACTTTTTCTTGCATAGCTAAATTAATAAACAATGATTAAGATAAAAAAAAATAATTTGGAAAAAAAAAATCAAACCTGGTTCAGGAAAATGACCTCTTGGTAAACGAATAGCTGCCTCAAGATTATCTTTTAACAGTTGAGGATTTTGATAATGACGAATACAATCAATACAGATATGTTCACCAAGACTACGTGTTGCTTCAAGAACTTTTGAACGACCTTCATGATTAATATATTGACTATTTAATAAGCTAAATATTTTTCGTGTCGTTGAACGACTGAATATTGATTGACGTTTTTCATCATTAACTAAAAAATAGTCACATAAAAAAATGACATAAACTTTTTGTTTTTTCTTCTTACTTATTGGTTTAATTAAAAGTGATATCTCACCCAAAAAATTTTCCGTCACAGTAAAATATGATCTTGTTAAATCATCAAGTTTCATATAAGATGGACAGTCACAATAACGTTCTTCAGTATCTTTAGGTAACTATATTTAAATAAAAACAAAAACAAAAAGGAAAAATTTTTTTAGTATTTAATAATTAATTAAAATATTTACTTGTTTTCGATCATAATGAATAATTAATAATGGATAATTTGTTGGTAATTGATTAATTGACATATCATTTATTTCAAATGAAACTTCATCTTGTGGACATTTATTTTCATCACGCATTATATAAATACACCCTCCACACATTGTACGACCACATACAGGTAATGTTATTCGACGATTTGAGGGGGTGTGGGTGTGGGTGGATGTGGGTGCGGGTGTGGGTGTGGGTGTGGTTGGGTCTGGGCGTGGGTGTGGGCATTGTTCCTTCAGACACCCACACCCAGACCCAACCACACCCACACCCACACCGATACTCACACCGACACCCACACCCACGCCGACACCCACACCCACACCCATACCCACACCCATACCCACACCCACACCCACACACTCACACCGACACCCACACCCTCACACACCCACCCACACCCACACCCCTTAATCATAGAAGTTAGTAGTTTTATTTGGAAATAATAATCTTATTTGAAATATGAATGTCATGCATTAATTAATGGAATTCAACATGTTTATTTATCACAAATATATAATATTAATTAAAAATATCTTCCATTTATTTTTGATTATATTGAGGCGAGTATCGCAGTTTTATAATGTTTGCTACGTACAATTTATGATCAAATTAATTGCTATGTCTATGGTTTTGCGATAATAAACAGTTTGATTGAAGTTAAGGCTCTATGGTAACTATCCGTTTTTCAAATGTAACTTGTATCGGTATTTGGTTTAAAACTATGGTATAATAATTGCTTATGATTAAAATTTACAGTATGATGATTTTAATGGAATAATATTTGACTCTAAGGTCTAATAGTATGCTTATAAAGTTATTTGTGAATTTATCTACACATAGCAAGACAGAATACTAATTAAATTTAAACCATACAAACTAATTGATTTCAAAGATCAATTTTATGTGACACTTAGTAATCCAAGATTCATCTATGTTATGTAGTCAAATCTATCCATGCGTGTTACTAAGTTTAAACATCGATCAATATAATATAGTTGTTATAGATTATCTACCACAACCATATACGTATACTATCGATAAACTTAATGAAAACATAAGACATTATTCATTATGATTATATGAAAGTATATTTTGAAGATTGGTTCACCCGTTTTTGTTTTTTTCTATTGCTGCTGCCTCGAAGAACTTCTTTTCTTTTTCTTTTTTCGTCAAAAAATTTCCCTCTTATCTGTGCCCAAATTTATAATGCGCAGTCCTGATGAGTGTTTAATTTAAATAGATACCACCAAACGCGTCTGAAAAATAAACTCTACGTTTATCTTTCTTTATTACTTATGTAAAGCACATTATTTTACCATTCTACTGTTATTTCATTTTCTACTTAGCCGGTTGCTAAAAAGTACGAATTGACAGCAGCCAATTGATTTTGCCCAATTTAATCAAATTCTTTACCAAGATCCAAGCACATTGAAGTTTTCTTCACTCACCATTAAAGTAACAATATTGATTATCACAATGAGAAGTCTTTTGAGAATAAGTCAATATAGTAGTAGATTATGTGTCATACTTTTGATATTTCTAATCATTTGAATGAATACTTAGTCAAAACTCTATGTGATGAGACCTTTAAGCAGAGTCGAAACACATGTTACAAGAAATATTAGTAGTACTAAGTAGAAGTTAAAAACACTGAATGAAATTAAAAACAAAGATTAAAGGTAAGAATTGCAACATTAACAAGTTTGTAAAAGAATTTTTAAATTGTCAGTACCTTCGTTCGCGACGGCGAAATCAAGCTTTTCATCGTTGTTAAAATCACCAACGGAAATCGAGAACGGAAGAGACCCATAATCGAACGAAAGAAACTGTACATTGGCGAACGAACCATTACCATATCCAAGCAAGATGCTTATCCTATTGGTGCCATAGTTGGCTACGATTATGTCTAGTAAACTATCGTTGTTGAAATCGCCAGTAACAATCGCGCTAGGTTGAGATGCCTTGCCAGTCGTAAATGTTTTTTCGCTTTGAAAAGAGCCATTACCACAACCAAGAAATATACCAACATTGCCATTGTCATGATTAGCAACGACAATATCAAGTATGGTATCCTGATTGAAATCACCAATTGCAACGGAGATTGGAGTAGAGCCAGTTAAAAGTATCGTTTGATTTGTGAAAGAATAATTGCCATATCCCAGAAAGATACCCACGTTGTTGGTGCCTGAATTCGCAACTGCAATGTCCACTTGACTGTCATTGTTAAAATCTCCAATACCAAATGACTTCGGCCGAGATCCACTACCAGTTATGAGCGTCATTTGTTTTTTAAAAGCTTGATTGCGATATCCAAGAAGTATGCTGATACTCGAACTCCCAGAGTTACCAACGACGATATCCAGTCGCATGTCATTGTTAAAATCACCAACAGCTACAGAATTTGGCTTAGCGTCAGTTAAATATATTGTTGGTCCCGAAAAAGACCCGTTGCCGTATCCAAGAAATATACTAACCGTATTGTCATGCGCATTAACAACCACGATATCCAATCGGGTGTCGTTATTCATATCACCAAGAGCTACAGATCTAGCATAATCATCAGTTGAATATGCCATTTGATGTGCAAAAGAGCCATTGCCGTATCCGAGAAATACAAGTACACTCGAATTCTCAGACTTAGTAACCACAATATCCAATCGAGTATCGTCATTAAAATCACCAACAACTACAGATTGTGGTATTGAATCAGTTGTATATGTTGCTTGTTTTGCAAAAGAACCGTTGCCATATCCAAGAAAGACGTTCACAGTACTATCATACCAAGTAGTAACGACGATATCTAATTTTGTGTCATTGTTAAAATCGCCAACAGCTACACAATCTGAATCATGTACAGCTAAAGATGTCGTTTGTTTTGCAAATGAGCCATTGCCATATCCGAGAAGTATACTTACACTCGTACTTCCAGCATCAGCGACGACGATATCCAATCGGTAGTCGTTATTAAAATCACCGGTTGCTACAGATCGTGGATAAGGACCAGTTGAATATGTCGTTTGGTCTGTAAAAGACCCATTGCCATATCCAAGAAGTACACTTATAGTACTGTCATGGAAATTAGTAACGACGATATCCAATCGAGTGTCATTGTTAAAATCCCCAACGGCTACACAGTATGGATAACCACCAGTTAAATATGTCTTTTGTTCTGCAAAAGAACCGTTGTTATATCCGAGAAGCACACTTACAGTGTTGTCATATGAATTAGCAACGACAAGATCCAGTTGAGTGTCGTTGTTAAAATCACCTAGAGCTACAGAGTATGGATAAGAGCCAGTTGAATATTTCGTTTGTTTTGCAAAAGATACGGTATCATATGCAACAAGCAGATCTACATTATCAATGTCATCATATGCGACAACAATCTCGGAACATCCATCATTGTTGAAATCGCCCATAGCGATGATCAACGGAGCAAAATCAGAACCGTTATCATAACTATCTTGACTTTCAAACGTTGCGTTACCATTTCCTAATAATAGCCCAACATTTTTAGTACCATGATTGGCGACTGCGATATCCATTTGACCATCTTTATTAAAATCACTGATGGAAATCGAATATGGATGAGAATTGAAGCCCATTGAGAACTTTATTTGCTTTCTAAAAGTGCCATTTCCATGTCCAAGAAGGAGACCTATATTATTTGTACCATCATTGGCAACGGCAATATCCAGAAAGCCATCGTTGTTGAAATCAAAAACTCCAAAACTTCGCAAACGAGAACCATTACCAGATGCAAATGTAATTTCATTTGCCAGAGCTCCTGTGTCATAACGAAGCAAAATACCAACATTGTGGTGAAGCAAACTAGTACTGACAATATCCAATCGGGTGTCGTTGTTGAAATCACCAACAACTACAAACGATGGATCATTGCCAGTTGAACATTCCTTTTTACTTGCAAAAGAGCCGTTACCATATCCAAGAAGTATACTTACCGTTGGACGTCTATAATTACAAACGACAATATCCAATATACTGTCATTGTTAAAATCGCCAAGAGCTAGAGATTGTGACATAAAACCAGTTAAATATTGCCTTTGATTTGCAAAAGAACCGTTGCCGTATCCGAGAAATACACTTACAGTCGAACTTGCACCATTAGCAACAACGATATCCAATAGGGTGTCGTCGTTAAAATCACCAACAGATACAGAGATTGGATAACTGTCAGTTGAATATGTCGTTTGATCTGCAAAAGAACCATTACCATATCCAACAAGTACGCTGACACTCCTGCCATACATATTAGTAACGACAATATCCAATCGGTTATCATTGTTGAAATCACCAACAGCTATAGATCCTGGATTAGAGCCAGTTGAATATCTCGTTTGATAAGCAAAAGAGCCATTACCATATCCGAGATGTACACATATAGTGTTGTTATAATAATTGGAAACAACAATATCCAATCGGATGTCGTTGTTAAAATCGCCAATAGCTACAGAGTATGGATTAGAATCAGTTGAATATTTCGTTTGATCTATAAAGGAACCATTGCCATACCCAAACAGTATACTTATAGTGCTGTCAAGGAAATTAGCAACGACGATATCCAATCTAGTGTCATTGTCAAAATCACCAAGAGCTACCGATTGTGGCATAGAACCAGTTAAATATTGTGTTTGATTTGCAAAAGAACCGTTGCCGCATCCGAGAAATACACTTACAGTCGAGCTGCCAGAATTAACAACAACGATATCCAATAGAGTGTCGTTGTTAAAATTGCCAACAGCTACGGACATTGGATAATTGCCAGTGGAATATGTTGTTGCATTTTCAAAAGCGATCTCGTCATAACCGAGCAGGATACCTATGCTGCTTGTATCATTGTTGATGACGACAATATCTAAACGATTGTCTCTGTTGAAGTCATCTATGGCAACTGCGATCGACGAAAAAGATCCAGTGGAATACATTTCTGGGTTTGCAAAAGTGCCATCAGCATATCCGAGCAGAACAGCTATATTATTGATACCATTATTGGTAGTGACTAAATCCAGGCGTTTGTCCTTGTTGAAGTCTCTAATGCCAATAGAATATGGAGAGGCAGCTCCAAGCGAATATGTCGTTTGTCTTATTAAAGTTCCATTGCCGTTACCAAGAAATACGCCTACGCTGTTATTTCCATGGTTGATGATAGCGATATCTAGCATGGTGTCGTCATTTAAAAGGCCAACTGCAATTGCATATGGATGAGAATGAGGACCAGTTGAAAACGTGTTTTGATTTGCAAAAGTACCGTTACTACTTCCGAGGAGTATACTTACAGTGTTTGTGCCATAGTTAGTGATAGCAAGATCCATCCATTCGTCGTTGTTGAAATCTCCACTAACAACAGCAAGTGGAAGAGAATCATAGCCCGTAGAGTACGTGCTTGGTCTTGAAAAGCTGGCATTTCCATATCCAAAAAGTACACTCACACTATGTGTGCCGTAGTCAGCAGTAACAATATCTAGTGTTGTGTCATTGTTGAGATCAGCTATGTGGATCCAAACAGGACGAGATAATGAAGTTGAAACGGGAGTTTGAACTGAAAAGGAGCCATCTTTGAGTCCAATAAGTACACCGATGCTATTTGTACCAAAATTTGCGACGGCGATATCCAGTCGATGATCGTTGTTGAAATCACCAACAGCAACCATGCACGGAGTAGAGCCGGAACCAGTCGAATACGTCACTGAGCTTGTCATGCTGCCATTACCATATCCAAAGTAGATAGCTATATTGTCAGCAGCATAATTGGCAACAGCAATATCTGGCCAATTATCATTGTTGAAATTGCCGACGGCAACAGATCGGGGGCTATATTTATATTCAATGGGATTGGGCGCCGTTGATTTAAAATTCATTTCACATTTTGGGACTAAACAACACAAGAACACATTAATAAAGACTGATTAGCTATTCTGATTGAACTATCCCTAGTGGATTGTATCAAATTTCTATAACGAGGATGAGATACTAGATTCATTGCTACACCGCAACTAGTATCATTTAAGTAAAGACCATGGGTTGGTCCTATCAACATGGTCAAAACCACTATCATCTCTATCCTGCAGGTTCTTCTATGACATAGCATCGGCCACAAATATACAATAAAGCGAAAATTTTCAAAGTATTTCGAAATCAAAAGAGTGCTAATGGCGTCATGGATAGTAAAATGAAAGTTTTTTTCACAGTTTTCGCCTGACAAATTGAGTGATTATCCATTTTCGATGTTGCCTATCCAGAACTGTGATTTCCTATTGTCTCACCATACTGTACTGTTATGATATAGTCTCCATAGTTGTATGATGATCTATACATTTCTAAACGATGAGATGACTTCGATATTCTCGTTTATTGCTTTCGACTTCTCTCGTAACTAGCAGAAGATTACCGAAGATACATGATTATTCAAATACTTTGAAAATTGAAGCAGAAAATACTTGCATTCTTCTTCAGATAACCTCTTTTGGATATTCTAATAACTATGAGACATATGATAGCATCATGATCTGTAAGGAAATACCACTATAGCACGTATAACTCAAGAAAAAGAACACTTATACGAGAGACACTCACCAACTGATATCTTCTGTTTAAGCTCGTAGAGCAGAGGGAAAACTCCAAAGTATTCGTCTCGTTGTCACTTTTTTTTCAGAGAAACGAGCATAACAAGTATCTTTGACAACACTAGAATGTAGTTAAGATAAGAGAACTACTTAGAGAAGATGAGAGAGAATGTATGTGATCGATATAGAAAGAAGGAGAAAGAAAATGAATGTACCTGGACATATTCGAAAATGGAACGTATGTACATTGAGGCATGGTTGCATAACGAAAGAATATACGTATATGGAATACATGTATAGAGAAGTCACAATAATGATAAAAAGAAAGCGAATCATGCAAAAATGATGACGAAATCTAATGGTCACTTTATTGCAGGTCTCTATTTATTATTATCTTCTTTCTCTTATCTTCGGGTAACATATGGCCAGAGCATGTAACCAAGATGTGTCTCGTAGAGAAGAAATGTTCATTTTCGTCATGTTCTATTATAAAATCACTTGTATTTTTCTCTTATTGTTTTCCTTATCTATAATGTCGACAAGCACATAGACGAGATAGAGCAAAGAAATCTTGTATATTAAGTGCTGTTTTCGTTTAGAGATGAAAATAATACTATCGAAAATAATAGGAGAAGTATTTTGAGAAATTCTTCTTCTTCATCAGTAAAACATTGAATATTATAAAGTTGATTCTTCAGCAATAAGAAGTAACATAGCTTAAGGTTAGTTTGTAAAGAATTAGCTCGTGACCAATGTTCCTTTGTTGAGATATGTAAAGCAACATTGTAAAAAACACAATAATCTTCTTTTTAGAGAATGTTGTCATGCTTGTTTCTCTGGAATAAAGCAGCAATTCCATAAGTCCTTTCGGAATTCCTCTCCACTCTATGAATCCTACTAATGAGTGAAATATGAGCTCAATCAGAGTGTAACAGTTGGTAATGTTGCCTTGTAAGAAACTGTATCTTTCTTGTCGTTTTTTAGTCTCATTGGGTTCGACTTAGGAGCAACATATCAGCTCTATTGGTGATGATCACCATAGTTGGCATACTGGCCAATGCTAATTTGATATTGAAAAGTAAAGCAATTGTAATGCTTATAATTCTATCTTCGACTGATGATTTGCCTGAAGCATATGTGCAGGAAATGTCATCACAATTGAAGATTTTTTTTATTGAAAATACACAATACTTGTACAAAAAAGAGTCGATCCGATTGACTATTTTTCTTGCAGTGAATACGAAGAGTATAAAACAGCAAGGACATACCTAGTGGTTTTGATCCGGTAAAACAAACTATCAATATACCGACGGTCATAGTTATACTTGTGAATATAGGCAATACAAAGACAGGTTTGGTACTTAAATCTAGTATTGACCAGAAGCGATATTTCCTAGGAAAGAACAACAACAATTATACTTAACATTAAAAAAAAATCATACATAATCTGTCGAGCCGTGTAACTTTTTATTTGATGAGTAGCGTCATTGTGAACGTTTCTTGCGTTTTGCGTATTTGAAATTGAACGTGCCTTCTCGTTTGTGTAGATGGAAACACTCTTCTTAGGTAACGGGAAATTGATCAATGCAGTGTCATCATTCATAGAAGCCATTTCAATCTACTATGAAATAATAGCTAAGGAAGAACACACCTCTTATATCAGCATATAATCATATCTCTAATAATCGAGTTTTACAGAAAACTGTCTCTCCAATAGTTTTGCCTAATTCGTCGAAAGAATACATGAACATGTGATTTTTCTGTACAATCTCAATGATTTTTCAACTATTAAACAAATGTATCTAATATGTTGAGCAGACTTCACCAGATTTTTGGAAATAAGACCATACTCGATCAAGACTCTGGCGCAAAACTGTTGCTTCAAATATTTATATAACCAACTGACAGTCATTTACGATTTTTTGATCTCTGTCGAAAGTAATAAACATTATTTTTTCTGTTTTCAATAGTTCTGCATGGGCACTTTTTGTTTCGACAATCTTTAACGTGTTTTCTATCCATATGCCTGAAAGTTTCTGAAAGCGCTTGCCAGGTTTTGGAATTATTGGTGTTTGTAATGTAGTCCGGGCTACTAAAAATGTTGTTAGGTTCCAGCATAGTAAATCTATATCGAAGGCATTTTGCGCCACGAATTCATTTTTTTTCTTTTAAATAACTTTTGGAAAGTTTTATTAAAAGTATTTAAGCTTTGAAATATTTTTTCGGTATAAAAAACCAAATTTTACCTGGTTTTTTTACAGCAGAGTGTGCATATGTGGGTGAGATATATTCGTTTGAGATCAGAAGATTATGAAGTGATGGTTTTTCGACAAACCAGATCTCATTGAGATGTGATAGTTTGAGAGGATTCGTGTTACTTCACCTGTCTTCTCAAGTTACTATTATGTTGGATACTTTGTTCAGTCACACTATGGTGGCAGTAAAACTCAATGATGTCTATAAATAGACACCAATGATAATGGTTAGCTACAACAATTAGGGTCATATCAATTCATTCATTCAGGGGAAGAAGGTGATCATTTGCAAAAGTGGGCAACAAATTTATGAGCATACTTGCAATTTTTCGACTCATTTCCAAAGATTTGTCAATTGCTATCAAGAAGCTGCTCAATTCGATATCACTTCTTGTCTCCATCGAGTACTACTGTTGGCAAGAACTTCACCAATGAAACAAAAGACAAGCTAAATTATTAATTGTCGAAAAATCGAAGAAAAAAAGAAAACTTTTCTAGAGAAAAAAATGACAAATTCAATGGTAACTTGTGTTACTTAATGAGAATAAAATTCCGACTACAAACTCAATCATTTGACTTGCTTACAATTTAGATCTGATTGAATGCAGAATGACTAGAATTGATTGCTGCAGAAGACGAAATATTGGATCAAACGTTGTGATTACTGTAGAAAATGCTGGCTTTATGAATAATATTTGCTATGATATAGTATGTTACCAGTAACTACTTACAATCTAATTTTGAAGTATAGAAAATGTACACGATCATCGAAGACGGCTTACCTTGACTTGTTTTATACATAAAAATTATTACTTTCAGTTGATTTTCGAAACCCTAATACACAGCTACAGAGAAAATTGTCATCAGTACTAAGAGTAACGTCTGTACTATACGAATAATATCACCAGATCTAACGTACGAAAACTGCAATCATTCCATGACCAACTAATTCCTGCCGGTGCATATTATCTAACGCTATCAACTGTACCGTGTCCATATGGTCTTCTCAAATATCTCATTCTCACCAGTGATAGTCCACATTTTTTGTTTTTGAAGAGTGCTGCTTTTATACACGTACTGTGTATGACTTCCTGCGATGTTTCTAGATAGTTGGCACATCATCCGAGCATTTACGTCCAGTATCGTGTAACGCTTATAAATGTGACTGATTGAAACCTCCTCTTGTTACGATTTGTATTGAGTAGAATTAGCTAGGTTACGTAACTCATTACATCTGTCAATACTTGCGTAAGTATTTAAAATAAAAGTATCTAATAGAGTTCTTCCTAATGATCTATGTCAGTTCAATACAATTAACGCTTTTCTCACGCTCAAATTAGTATCCTCTTACTTGTTTGGATTCAAAACTAAACCTTGAAAACACATTTGTACCATTACGAAGTGAAAAAAAAGCGTGTTCTTGTAGACAATTTCATGATTTGCCATTAAGGTTTATAAGTATTCTTGTACTTTTTTTTTTCATCGTGTTAAATAACGATCACTCGGAATATTTTTATTTCCTTTTTTGGAAGAAAATATTTATCTATCATCTGTGTATATAATCAGATTCGTCAGTGATATGGAAAATTGTGGCTTTTCTCTTGGTTTTGTGGGAAAACATTTGACATGCTATACGCGATGGCTTCTTCACTCTATTCTGTATTAGTTCCAAGAACTAAATTCCTGCTTCCATCAAGTTCTTTTACAGGTGTGTCTAAGCTTCAGTGAAAAGCTAGAGCTTTCTAATAAAAAAAATCTAAGAAAATCTAAGCGATTCACATCGGCTGCTTTTGCTCGTAAAAAGTATAAGAACTGATCATTAGAATTGTTGGATGGCTCGTAGACCGAGTATGGAAACAGGATTCCAGTAAATTCCGATGTCAACTATTTAGATGGAATGGTTATCGATCTAGGTGATATGTTGACCGATTGACACTAGAAAGACAGGTTGACAATGCCATTTATATGATGCACATATTGACTAAATCAGCCACCATTTCAGTATGATATTTATCTGTTTTTCTAACTAGATAGCACATC